ACATACATACATACATACATACATACATACATACATACATACATACATACATACATACATACAGTACATCCCTCTCACCTGTTCCTGTCCCAGTATGAGGACTCCCCCTGGTTTGATGGGATGCCAGGCAGCCAGCCCGTCCCCCCTTCCTTTCATCTTCCCCCCCTGGTAGGCCTTCCACACTCCGTCCCTCAGGGTCCAGCTAATGCAGATATGCTGCCACTCATTTAGCGGTAGAGACAGAGGCAGCTGGGCGACCTGAAGATGAAAAAAATCACAGCAGCTGTGGTTAGACCAGCCTATGCACTGAGGCTGGAAATCTTTCAGCACMTGACCATTTGATTGGATTACAATGCAGATGACTGTGATGAGAAGAAAAGGAAAACTATTATATATTTTGGTTATTTTGATCTCCCAACCCCACTACCTCAAGACTACTTGGTAGTTTTAAAGCAAAGTGTCTGACTACTCTCATTCAAGCATCTATGTTTGCTATGTGACKCTGAACTTCCACACTTTTCATTTCTGCTTTTCATGGTCTTCATCATCATTTTTCCACATCCGCGATGAATCTCAAAACAGACCCCTCATTCCAATGTCCTCACCTCACCTCTCAGACTGGTGTTTTAGCTGAACATTGAACTGGAAACAACAGGATGCAGATTTTTTTATGGTTGTCTACCACAGCAAACATCCACTTCTTTCCATCCAAGTAAAAATGTATATGCACTTTAAAACAAAGTTCTCCCCATAATAGCTAGTAAAGCATGTGTTCCRGTACCACRGTTGCCATGAACTCAGACTCTTTTRAACACTTTTGTTCTGTWGCAAATYACTACTACAAAAAAGCAATTATTCTCTTAGATCTTAGCATTTATTCTAATTACTTGTTGTTTGTTTCTCGTTTTTTACATGTGCTGTCAGTATAAAGGTTATTTTTTTTCCTTCAAGTGCAGTGTAAATTTTTTAAATATCTTTTCTGTTGCACTTTCTGCACACTTTCTGAACACCACAGACCTAAAACAAAGTCTGCTGATTCACATCTTACTGACATTTTCTGTGACGACTGTTGTGTTTTTTTTTCTCACCACTGATGAAAAGGGCACGTATTCACTTGCAAAAAACTGTCATCTCTCCCTTTAAACAGTGTATGAGCCTGCAGTTAGCTTGTGCTGTTTTGTGAAACGTCATCATAATCTATAAACAACCTATTTCCCAGGCTACTCTGCTTCAGTTTCAAAGCTCCRCATTCAAAATACYACAAATTCATCTCATAGCCAGTAAGTTCTTGTCTCGATCTCCAGGTAAAAATAACCCCTACCTTGTCGTTGATGAGCAGCTCCACAGGATTGTGGACTCCCTGCAGCAGCACCAGCTCATTGGGCTGACCCGGCACAGAGTAGGAGAAGGGGGTCCCGATGCCCCCTTCCTTGGCCTTGAGCCATACGCAGGCAGTGAAGGCGTACATCTCAGTGATCTCCCTTCTCACCAGGCCATACATGTAGCTGGTCCGCATGGGGAAGGAGAGGACGAAGCCATCGGGGAACGGYGGCTCTGTCATTGCTTTGGAATCAAAGATCAGAAGGATGAGCAGTCAGACAGTAAAACTTTTCAACTTTTAACCCAAAAAACAACAATGGCAACGAAAAATACAAACCAACATTGCTAGAAATCAAGTGGAAGACACTTGGGTAAAAAAAAAACACTTGACTAGAAGTTATTGCACATACTGGGTATAAAACTCCGAATGAGTATAACCCAGACAAAGATCAAAAGTGCTGCATAAGTCTATATGTCTGGACAGTCAGGGGGCTCTAAGGGGACCTCAGAAAGCTGGAGGGAAACTTAATAACTTAACTTAACTAAATCTAAAAAATGTTTTAAATCATTATCATAAAATCCAACCTGTTTTCTACGGAGCTGAGAGCAATCTTTGTGGGTTTGAAAGGGGGTCCCAGGCTAGAAG